GGGTGAAGTCCACCATACTTTTGCCAAAACAATTATGGGTAACCATATCTATGGTTGCAAATGTTTTGTGATGAATTGAATAGTTAAGATTATTAATACACAAGTGAGATGCAGAGAAGATTGCCAAAGTATTTTAAAAGTCCTTTATTAACCTGAATATATAAAAAAGAGAAGTTTTCTACCGTAGAGGAGCTCTTACTTCATGTGGAAACAAAACATTTTTACAAAGTGAAAAAATAAATATCTTTTTGGGAACAAGATTTATATGCTAATGTGCTATAAAAAAGTAGAGTTTTGATATTTGACAAAATATCTGTGCAAAGAAACAAATGCATACTCATATTACTGCTACATTAAGGCAATATGAAAAGTATATTTATAAAGTCGCAGTAAAGTGACTTTTCTAGCTTTCATTTCAGCTAGTATTGCACATGATCATCTAGCTTTCAGTATTCTGTAGCATTCACTAGTTGACCAAAATCCAAAATGCTTAGGGAAAATAGGGATCGTGAAAGATGGTTTTTAAAAATTTAACACAACTGCATTTTAAGGAAACACTGAGATTATAGAATTTGAGGAACCTTTCTCCAAACATAAGGCATTATGAACAGAAACAACAGCTGAGTTTTCTAAGTACAAAAAAATCTTTAGAAAATCAAAGTTATATTTTAAGTGTTTTATCCACATTTTCTTAGGTACCCAACAGGCTGCGGATTGATTCAAAAAATGATAATAAATTTTGCAAGTAATCTGATCACAAGACCTGCTGAATAAACTCAGCTATTTGCTTAAAGCTTTGCAATCTTAATTTCTTAAGTGCACAAATTTAAAAATAAGTTTCTTACTTCAGTAAAACAAAAGCAGAAACGAAATTATACAATAGATGTACACATTAAAAACTAGTCTTTCTAAAAAATAAATGGGAATGGTCATGCTAGATAAAGTAATTTTTAAAACAATTTTAATAAAATGCATAAAACTGGGTTACTGCGGGATACTGCAGACTAAATTGTCATCTTTTCTCTCAGAATATTAATTTATTAATAATGCTGTTTCAAATAACACGTTTGTCTACAAGTCATTCACAGTATATCCTCTAAAATTTATTCTAACAAGAACTTGTTCATATTCTCCCTTTCCCAGTTTTGTCATGGTCCTTCCAGTAATTGCTGGCAGATGCAGAAGTGATAGTTCTTTTTTATCAGTGGAGTTGGAACTTTAGTGCAGTACTTTGGAAGTATGGATTAGTTAAGAAAGTAACACAGTGGTCATATTAGAGTCAAATTAAGCAAGCTGGTGTGGGTAGGCAAATATACATGCTGCACATGTTCTATTTCAGATCTGCAGACTGGACACACCTAGAAGGAAAACACAAGAATAATGTTACCAACTGCATGTAGAGTAATGCTAATACACAATTGACGCTACTGAAGTTTTACCCATTAAAACTTCTATCCACATATACTCTATTACACAGCAAATGCTTTCTTCCAATGACTCCTTTCCAAAATCTAAAAAGGGAGTATAAAAATCAACATCTATAGGACTCCAATGTCTGAACTAAATCTGAACTGCAAACATCCAGCTTGCCACTAAATGGCAACATAAATTTAAGATTTTTTTGTACCTCTTCTGTCATCTAGTGAGTCTGATTTTTGCAGTAAGGAAATGGTAGCCCTAATGCACTCTCTTCAGCTACTTTTTCCAGCTTCCTCTTCCTTCTCTCCCCAAGTGGGAGAGGAATTCTTCATAGTGCAGCAGTCCCCAACCTTACCAGCTTGGCGGGCCAACCTGGCAGTGTGTGTGAGTGGCAGGAGCATGCATACGAGCACGCAGCACTGTTTGTGTGAGCAGCGCCCCCCCTTCCATTCACACAAATGGAGCTTCGGTGTTCAGCAGACGGCACTTGTGCTTGCGAGTGGAGTTTTGCACATGCGTGCTTGCCCATCACTCACATGGCCCAATTTTGAACAAGCCTCAGTCCAGTAATGGGCCTCACCCCATGGGCTGGGGACCCATCATAGTGATTGACCAGATAAAGCCATTAGGTCAACTGCTGCAATGGTTAAGAAGCAACTGATATCTCTCTTTCTCTTGCACACCTGAAGTTGCTGCAGCCTTGCAGGTGCCCTTTTACTGCTTGCCACCTGTCTGAACGATTTACTGAAGTTACTGATTAGAGACCTCTGTTTCTATTTGAAGGATTTATTTTGGAAGCCATAGAAATCTTATTATGGACTGATGCAGCTCCAAAATGTTGACATTTCTGGAAAAAAATATTTGGAATGTTCATCTAATGATTCATATATTTCCAGAAATGGATTATCTGGAGTCCAATTAAACATTTCTGATTCCAGTGAATTGACTTCCAGAAACATATGGACACATGGAACATTTGGACTGACCTGTTATGTGGAATATGAGGACAGAGATTCCAGAACTGGCACATATGCCAACTTAGAACATTTTACATATTTACTCATATTTGGGTGCAACTGTCTAGGAGACAGTAAAATCCTAAGAAAATATTTCATCTGAATTTACAAATTTTAATTAAAAGCATCGCTTTTTATATTTAACATACTACTTGTATATTGTATGTTAATCAATAGGGCCAGTAGTGCATTGATGAGGCAGCTTATTCCTTTCTTTCTTCCATAGTATGTTGATGCAAGACTATACTTAGCCATGAACTGATGTTTAAATCCTGCAAAGTTATTGCATGCTTTTTTTGAGAATTAAAGAATTTCCAGTATTTTTTGAACTTAAGTCAAAATGTAATACTTTTTACTGTTGCAACTGATTTTATACCTACTTGTAACTGTATGGCACATGTCTCACAGCACACAGTGTGGCCACATGGACAAAACGTTGAATTTATTTCTTCTTCACAGCATGCCATACACAGCAGAGACTCCTTAAACTTCCGTAGTTTTTCCTGAAGAGCTTTCATTTGCTGACAGTTGAGACCCTCACAATTGTTGTTACAGTTCATACTGTTTTCTGACGATTTAAGGGGAGAACTGGGGGGGCTTTGGTCATTACTTGAAACTAGATCCTCAATGCCAGCATTGTAAAGAGCTCGTCTTGCATGATCATAAGCTTCCTTAGATGTCCGCTTAATGTCAAATACATACTTTTTCCCAAGATTAATATTTTCTGTCAGGAACAAGGATGCCAAGTGGCCCTTTAGGTCTCGGCTATATTGCATCATGACAGCGCTAGTAACAGTATCACACCTAGCAAAAAAAAGAAGATATAAAACAAACATGAATCAAACAACCTTTTTTCCCTTTATATCCCCAAACTACTGAAACAAGAATGTGGCAGGTGGGGAAAGCCATGCATAACATAAACATAGATTTCAATGTAATTTAAAATGGATTTATTATCTACTTGTTTACAACATACTGGAACAGTGGTATAACAAACCAATTATATAATAGTGTCAAGAACTCTATTATGAACTTGACTTAAATACATATATTTCTCCCCAGAAATACAAACCTGTAAAATGCATGTGTTTCTGTTATTGCTCTGTATAGTCCACTAGCGGCTCTGGTGCTGATCATCTTGAAAAGATGAACGATGCTGTTTCCTGATTCTTTAGTGACAGTTAAGTATACATTCTTCCCAGACTGTGTAGCCATCTGAACAACTGAATATGCAATCCTAAAGCAATTGGGGAGGGTGGGGGGGAATACAAAGAACGACACCGTAATATTAAGCCCTAAAATTCTGTTATCAAAACAAAAATAGACCAAGTACAGACTGGCAATGTAAAATTAAAGGTGAAATATAAAGATGAATTGACCATTTTTGGAAAGAAGAAATGAAACTAGCTTTAATAGCAATGAAAATCTTTCCCAAAATGTTGCCACTTCAAGAAGAAAAACTTAACCATTCTGTAACACTTTGATAGCAGATCTGAGATATAGAAAGAATCCCTGAATTTTCTGCAATAACGAATGTCTATAGTTATTTGGAGTTAGAATCTTTCCCATCCCCAAAAATACATCTGAAGGAAACAACCCATTTCAACAATGCACAGTAAGGAATGTTCAATACCGTTAAGCTAGAGACTCAAATAAAACAGCTGCATGCTTCAGAATTCTTTGGCTATTTTACAAGCTTTAGATAAAGTTTTTCAAAGGCAGGACTTTCTGGTAATCACCTGTTGATTGGACTGAAGTCATCCATACATCTGGAAATGCCTTCAGGGCCAACTCCAATAAAAAGTTTTTGCCCCTCACTGTCTCTAACCGAATGCCATTCTACTCCATAGTTCTCTAGTGTTGACACAATCTGTAAAACTTGATATTCAGCTGAAACTTGGCTGAGACCTTCAAGATCCTTATGTTTTGCAATAATACTGTGGAAAAAAATATGAAAGTAGGTTAATCACAATCTTGATTTTATTTTATTGTTTAAATATATTGATCTGCCACTATAAAATCCTAGATTTTATAGACTGGGAACTCTTAAAACACATTTTACACAATCCATAACTCTTCATTTTAATACATTTAATTTAAAGGTATGAGTAACACTGAGGATGGAAAGTTATAATTTTTGAATGTATTATCAGTTATATTGAGAAAATTTAAATTTAAATTTACTAAATCAAATTCAATAAATGGGGGGGGGGGAGAGTAAATTATCTCATAGAAAGCAACTTTCAAAAATTAAAACCCTTGTGTCTAATGAGCTCAGGTGCACATTAAAGCAAACAAGTGTAAAACTTACAAGTAATTGTTCTTAGATACTCCTGCTGCATTAAAAGTTTAACAACAAAAGTTACCTGTCCAAAGTAGAAGAGGTAAGTTCTTTCATACAGAACTCTTCATAGTGGTATTTGGCAGTATTCTGATTATAATCACCAAACTTCAACTGGGCAAGCAAAGCACTTAATTCAACAGCACGTTCAGAAGAGCACTGTAAGGTACCAGCCAGAAGGTCCTCCTCTATGTGCAGGAAAAACATATGCCTAAAAAAGGAAGTTTATTTTTGTAACACAGAAAGGAAACATAGCAACATTTAAGACCTGCTCAAATACTACAAGAAATATTTCTGCTAATAGTGAAAGACATATTGTGAATAAAAATGGAACTACAAGAAAGCCCAGAGTAAACTGATGGGAAACATTCCTTTAAAAAGGTGAGAGTAAAATAACTGTATTTAGAATAAAATTGGAAAACTAAAATCCAGTAATACATCTAAAATTAGTTCCAGCTCAATAGGATTAGGAGAACATGAAATAAAAGAATGTAAAGCAATTAGTAAAAAAAATCAGAGCTATTCCATCATTACAATTTTTTTAGCTAATATTCAAGATTCCTGTTAGAAATCTGTGGTTTTAATCTCCTAAAAGATATTTGGTAAACATACCTCCCTAAAACTATGAGCCAAGGAACTGATATATGGGATATGCCTATTCTATACAAAAGCTCAGGGAATATCTTAGAAAAGAATGTGACATGATACAAACACATTCAACTAAACACAGAAAAATTCCAATGTCCCATAATGTGAAAATCTTAGGCTGAGAATATCATATTTTAGGCATAATAACTCCAAATATATACCTAGTGACATCTCAGAACAACTGGTTTGATCCTATTAAAATTGAGGGTTTTTGAGACTTGAATATGGACTCATCACTTTTACTTTTTTGAATATGCCCAGTATTTAATGTGAAACTCCAGCTGAATGCCTCCTGCTGTTTGCCAATCTAATATAAAGAACATTTGTTCTTTATAGTCCTTATAGCAACATCTTTTTAGAATAAACATTTGTCTTTCACACTGAATATTTAGGAGTAGCTTCATTTTATCTCAGTCCAAATAAAGAATTGAACCAGATACGAAAACAGATAAGACTGGTTTATAGTCGGATGCCAACAGCATACCAGAGCAAAGGCAAAGGTTTTACAAGCTCCAATCTTCACTGCTGATTAATCAGGGGAAAGGTTAACTCCGGATATTCAACTCTGCTGCATGCAGTTAAGGGCATTCACCACTTATCTCAGAAAAAAAAACAATAGATTCTACAGCACTTAGATAAACACTTTAGTGCAGTGGTTTAATGTTTAGACTACAAATATTTCATAAGTTGCAAATGTCTGATGAAGCTATGATTTTAATTACAGACATCAATTTGGACTAAGTAGCACATCTAACACAGCTCACTTCAAGTCAGAGAACTTAAGCATTAAATCAGTTTGAGGTGACTTTTCTGAAAAATTTTATCCGTTCTTTAAGTTTTAGAAATTAAATCACCCCCCAAAAGTTATAGCAGACTGCTGTAAGTTCTTCAAGACAGTTCAACCACAAAAGCAGAACTTCTGCTGGAGGCAACTGCAGTAGACCAATCAGGGACTGACTTTCTTAAGCATCTCCTCTTTCCTCCAGAGAAGCAGCTGCTGATTTGATGGAGCAGCCCAGCAGCTTTTAACAAGGGTTACTTTCAGTCAATGACCTATAGTTACATTGTTGTCGGGTTTTCTGACTATCAGACTTTCTTCCTTCAAGCCAGAGACTTTTATAATTGCAAAAGGAGCCACGCCTAGTGGTGTTTGGGAGTTAGCTTTCAGACTACAATTCCTTTCTGAGCATGTATTTTTTTAAACTAACTTCTTTTCACCAAAGATGGACATCTGCATAAGAGAGGAGGAAGCTATAGCATATTTATATTTAGTGAATTTTCTGTGTCAATAGCCTATTCCATTTGGTGCTGCCTCAAATCTATTTTGTTCCATCATTAGATAGGCTAAGGAAAAAATGCTAACAATTGGGAAAAACTATATAAATAAGCTTCTTTACTTGGAATCTCGTTCTTCAGAAATACTCTAGCATTCATAACTTGTTGAAGTAGGCCAAAAAACCAACCGATTTATTGATGGGACATAAATTTGGATTATCACGGTATAGACCACAGTATAGAAATCAGTAGATTTTAATTCCAACAGAATCTCAGGTTGGTATAAATTATGCTATGTGCTACTCTACAGAAAATGCATAATACTGTGAAAGTCTTAGGCCACCATTAGATTTGTTGCTGTAGCAATGGTATAATGACCATATATAATTATGTCTGTCTTCTCATCAGAATATAACCAGAAAATACAGGAAATTTGTATGCAGTATTCAAAAAAACAGGAAAAGGCAGAAAAAACAGGTTCCATAGGCTATTATAGAGGCAATTATATAGTGACCTCCCCTTACACCTGAGCAACAGCACACACATGGCTCCTGTAAACCCAACTGTACTGTCATTACTACCACCTGTACATGTCCTTCTATTCCATGTCAAAATGACCGTTGTGCAAAAAGCTCTTATTATACCAGGTTTGTGCAAGACATGCTTGGGCATTACACACAGTACAGACACATGTTGTATGAGTGTAAGTCATTGGAAGCTTGTTAATAAGACTGTTAATCAACATTCCAGCCAAAATGCCAAAGATCACAGAATTTGACATGTAATAATCTGCATCGGGAAAGTCACCCTCAAAGGGAAACCAATAAATAAACTGGATATTCAAAATGTGGTATTCAAAACCAAAAAATAATTAGATGGTCATTAAATCTTTGCTAAAACAAAGCGGGTGGTTTTTGCACACAGTACAGTAATATTTTAAATAATAATTTGGGTTGCATTGTACGGTGTACAAAAATATTCAGCAATTATTCTACCACATAAAGGTAGAATAACAGAATGTCTGAGCACTTCAGGGATGTGGTAATCTAGCCAATCTTTTACAAAAACTACTAGTGGGAAAATAAAGAACATGTACTCTGGATGTTTAAGTTCAGACATGTTATAGTTCATAAACCAGATATAAAATAACAGTCTTCCAAATAATTATTAAGTCAATGACAATGTTTTTGTAAGTACTTGTAAATCCAGTTTAGAGTTATATATTTTTTAAGAAAAAACATCTGTTTTCTCTTTGTAGCTTGAAACAGTCATTTGAGTATTACTGTAATATGACACAGATTAAGGGAGGAGTCCTGGAGGAAACCGAAACACGGAGGAAGTTTCCTGTCTTGAACATTTTAAAATGACCTGCAATAACACTGTGAAGAGGTTACTGTCGGGCACTGGAGCCAATACTTTTACTTCTAAACTTCATAATTAAATGAACCATTGCCAAATCCATACAGGAACACTAATAATTACATAACACCAATATTTTCAACAGGGAAACTAGAGCATTGCCTTTAATGGTGGCTTCTTCCCAATATAGTGTACACAATAAAAATCATGCCATAAAGCTAAGATCAACTGAAAAACTAAGACACCTTAAGCATTGCTGAAAGTCATAGTTACTCTATGGAGCCGCAGACTGCAAAATAATAAACAGAAACCATTTTCAGTGAAGGGTGTTGTTGTTTTTTTACCTTGTCTGCTCCTGCAAGATCAGATGTGGCTCCACAAAGAACTTGACCCGTAGTTTCAATCTGTAAGGAGGCAAGCCATCCATCTGTTGGGATATTCTATTTCTCAAATTCAGCCATAAGTTCTCTCCCTTGCTTCCTGTAAACTGGAGTCCGAAGTAATCAACTTCTATAATCCCCAGTCGCCTGCAAACCTATGATTACAAGTTAAACATCATAAACACTACTGTAATGAGCGCTAGAGAAAAATGCTATAAGGTACCCATTTACTTAAACAAGGTTACCTAAACAGTTTTCCCAATTATTCATAGCCTAGACAATATTTTTGGAATATTCAGAATTACAAAAGCTAGTGACTTTCCTATCTAAAGTTTTCAAGGGGTCGACAAAATTGCAAGCATAAAACCCCCCAAAAAAACCCGTTAACAGAATGCCTAGAGAATAACTTAAAATATGAACCTTTAATTTAGTGGATATCAAAAGCAGCAATTGCAGCAGCTGGAGCATCAAACCAGGACTTTCAACACGAATGGGTCAAAATTAGTAGCACTCTAATGGTTGCTCCCCCCTCACAAAAAAGGTGCTTTTCCCCCCCCCAGAAAGGCAACTGGACTTTTATTTTTAAAAAACGTTTCGCTTCTCCTTCGAGAAGCTTCTTCGGTTCTAACTTTCCTTTCCCAAGGAAAAGAACCGAGAAAGTCCAGTTTACCACCATGACCCGGGATGATTGAGAAGCTCCACGGACATCTCTAACGATTGCTTAACCGCCGCTCCGGCTTCCTTGCCCTCGCCTCCGCAGCATCCCCAAGAGGTCCGCCAAGCCCGGCGGGATGCTCTCGAGCAGGGCCCGATTCAGTGGGGGGCGCCACCACCTCTGCAAACGCCACGTGCTCAGTGCGGTTAAAACGGGGCTAAGAGGGGATTTTCCCGTTGCGCGTGAGGGGCGGAGGGGGGGGGGGGACAACCAGCCAGCCAGCCAGCCGGCAAATCAACGGAACGGCTCCCAAGCAACGCGTGTGGGAGATGAGGAGGGGAGCCGCAGCCCGGTGTCGCTGCCGAGAGGAGGGGAGGGCTGAGGCGGGGGACGACAGACACGCTCCCCTCTTCCCCCTGGCGTCACCCGCAGCGGCTGCCTCGAGCGGCGAGGCGACCGTTGAAGGTCTCGCCTCGCGTGAGCCACAGGACGCGCGTGGCATCGGGAAGGAGCGCGCGGGGGTGGGGTGGGGGCAGCGGAACGGCCACGCGCCGGAGGAGCCCCTCCGCGAGCCCCGAACGGCCACTCAGGTGGAAAGGGGCGGGGGGCGGCGAAGGAAAGCGCGGCTTTTCACCTGGTTCAGGCAGTCTTCGCCATTGGCTTTGGCCTCCACCTCTACTTCCATCACCACCGCATCCGGCCTGGTCACATAGCACAGCATGGCCGCCTCTCGTCGCCAAGACGCAACCCCAAAGAGTCCCCGTTTGCCGTCTCGGTCCCCGCTAACGAGCTAACCGCGACCCTTAAAAGTCTTTTCGGTGCTCTGCGCGTAGCCCGTGATTAGCGCTCCTTTATCGTCTCGGTCTCCCCCCCGCCCCTGCGCTCTCCTCAGTCCCCGCCCCCAAGCGAAGCCCAGCCAATGAATGCGCTGAAAAGCGGCGCGGCCGCCAGAGAGGATGAGCCTAGAAGGCCGTTTGTTTTCACTAAAGGGGTACCGTCTCGGCTGTTGCGGCGGAGACTCATGGTTTCCGATGGTGGTTCTATGTGGTGGGCCAAATAGGAATAAATCTCAAATGGAAATGTCTAAAGCAGAGACAATTAAAAGTGATGTGGAAGAGTTCCTATGCAGTGCACTTTTTTTTTCCTTCAAGTAATGAGGGAGAATTGAACGGTGGTTAACAGAAGTTGAAATCTCCCAATACATACTCACCATAAAATCAAGAGAAATAGGCTGCCATACAATTGGACTAAAAGCAGAAAGCATATGTTGAAATCACCCCCTCTTGCAAAAGTAAAACGTGAGGCTCAAATGGCTGAGATTCACTCTGACAAACAACTGTATGGCAATCTTTCTGCGTGCTGAAAGCTTTAGAAGGTTTTCCATCTTAAAATCTTTTAAAAGATTTTTAATCCATAAATTCTGATCAAGATCACTAACAAGCAATTGTTTTCATGGCGGTTTTGGTCAGACTGAACTAATTTTCCATTTACAAAGTTTTCCTGCTTACTAATATTGCTTTGCCCAGCATCTTGATGGGCTAAGTTTTCATTTCCACAAGATTCAGAAACGAGCATGAGTTGCTTCAGTGTGGAAACTGATCAGAGTAACTTGTATGTTTTAGCAGGAAGAATTTTAAAAGGAAGATTGCAGCATTAAATCCCCGAATTAGCTTTAAGGGACTTTTCCCACTAGTGTATTACAGAGCTGTCCATGTACTCTTAAATTGGCAAAAAAAAAAAAAATATCAGCATGAATCTTGCCAATCCTTACTCTGCAACTATTGCCTCTGTTCCCAGATGGCGCCCATCTTAATGTAACGGCCTGCAATAGACTTCTGATGTGTTTACTTGTTTGACTCCCCAATTTAATTTGCACAGGAATTCCCAGCACTTTCTCCATACAAATACTGGCGAGACCCACACAACTAGCTTTTAAGATCAGCCAAGGTCAGTTAAATGCTGCCAACCTCAGCTGGCAAAAATAAATAAATTGCAAAGCAATCCTGTTTTCACCATCCAAGAGCCACTAGTTTTTGTTTCTTCATTTTTTTGTGCCTGGAAGTCACTGTAAATTCCTACCAATTGCCTGGATTAGTTCCCTGCAGTTTTTTTGACAAGATTTCAGAAGTGATTTGCCATTGCCTGCTTCCTAGTGCTGAGAGACTGGCCCAAAGTCACCCAAGTTGAATTTGTGCTTAAAGCAGAACTAGAACTCACAGTCTCCTGA